GATTATGACTTACCTTAATACTAGAATGAGATGAATTCCACATCAAATATTTAACATAAAATGTTTCTTACCAAAAGTAAGGTATGCAATAACAAGGTTATTTGTAATTTGTGTAATTCTATATTACTTAATTATTTTTCTTAGTAGCACGTGTGTAATTAAGTAAACTTTGCGCTCATCTTTTTATTATTTTGTGTAGGAGTCTACGTCTCCAACCCGGCCACCATCAATGCCCCTCAGCTGACATTGAGTGTCCAAATGGATGGACACTACGGTTGGAGTTCGAACTCTGCCTCTGTTACCGACCTGACAAGCTGAATGCCAGAAGAAATTGGTGGGGCAACGTTGATGTTTACACAAACTCTTTGCAACACAAGTCCGATGGATCAGAGCTTCGTGTTGAAAGCCAAAATCCTAGCTCCGCCACAAGTTAGCCTATAAATTCACTGTTATGCCCTTGAGATATATCTTTATTATTTAGTTTTAAAAAACGAAAAACTTCTTCATGAAGGGATTAGCAGATGTAGAAGATAAATTTGACCCATTATGCGCACATAATTAAACATGAGCGTATATTATTTTAAAGCAAATAGGCATCACATAACCAGAAAACGCTTCTGATTTTTTGAGCCAAATCAAATCACTCGATCATGGGAAAAATTATCTTTTACCCCGTGCATTATTCTAATTATGGCTGAATGGTATACAAGGTGTTTTGTTGGCTTTGCGAAGAGGTAGCAAGAATGAATAGCTAGGGTTAAATAAAAGTATTATATACAAAAGGTCTGACTTCGTTTTCACAACTTGGTCGTGTTGCCAGGGTGACTTAGTTGGAAGCACCTTGTCAGACATTTTAGGCCCAAGTATTTATCATAATTTCCAACGTTTGTCCGTGGACTTGGTGCATTCCTGGACGATCCATACAGCATCGTCAATGAGTCTTGCAACTCTCATAACCACCCTGAGGCTACAACACGTCAAAGAGACAAGATAAATCAACGTTGGAGTACCTTTAATTTAGTTTGAAGAGACGAGTTAGCCTCACCGGAAGCTGTAGGGAGATTCCCTTTAAGCTGTGATTGTAGATTCGTGTGAGTAGGTGTTCGGCACACTGCCCTGTGAGCCTGATGAATCCTTGTTGAGCTTTCGTCCGTCGTCAGAGCATGACAACATGTTTTACCATAATTCACTAAGCACAACCACAAGAAAGGTGGCCGGCTGCAATTTTACCTACTTTTTATGGCTTGGCTAGGTCCACTTAGTGAGACATCTCATGATTTGTTTGGAGAAATCATACTTTTCCTAGATGCTGTTGAGAAGTGAAGTGGCTGCAATTAAAACGTGAAATTGATGCAATTGTGACCGAACAGCTACATCCTCCTCTAAAACGCTCCTTTTTTCGTGTATAAGTAGGGTTTCGAGACTACCAGTAAATCAATTGAAATGTATATGAGATGTCCTATAAGATGAGATGTCGTGGGAGATATATT